GAATAAACGCCTTCACAATAGCCCAGACCTTTGCTAGTTCATGCATATCCAGAAAACGCTCATTCCTGCACTTGTCAATAAACTTGTAGATAGTTATGGCATCTGGTTGCTAAGTGCCAGCCAAGGAGAAAAGAAGGGTATACCTCTTTGAAAGAGTCTAAAATGCAATCGTTACTAGCCTAAACCATCTCTTGCAGCATATGTGTCAATTATAATTTCACGGTTCGCGTGAGACTCGGCTGGAAGCCGGGCTTTCCGCATCCGTAGGAACGCCACCACCCTTCAAGGATCAAGGCGCAGATGCAGCTCCTTAGGCCTCGGTCACACTACGGCAAAAATGCTGCGTCAGCGTCAGAATCATGAGCTTTTCCATGGCAACTGACGCAACGCGGGAAGTTTGAGCGTCAGACGCTGCTGCGTCTGACGTGGGGAAATCGGCTGCGTTGCCGCTGATGGGAGTGACGCTTGGCGGAAAAACAGTGTCTTTCAAGTAAAATTAGTTTCAAGACACTTTGCTTGAGTTGAGCAGTTATTCGACATTTGTCTCTTCAAGGTTTGTTTTGTTCCCTCTTTTTGTTCGAGATGAGTCCGTGGACCTACGAGGCCGAGGCTGCTCTGCTCCGAACCTGGCGGAAGAGCGAGGCGTTTTCTGAGAAGAAAATGATGTCGAGAAAGGACCAGTTGTTTGAGTGGGTCATCGGCCAACTGGAGCCTGTTGACTTGTGAGTGTTGTGTTGTCGTCAAGAGCCCCAAAAAGGACAACCAGTATGACGAAGTCAGGAGAAACACAGCTGCGATGCGGACTTTTCTTGCCTGATCAATGACACTACAACTGAAAATGGCTTCAAATTCGGAAAGAAACAACAACGATCGTGCACGCGTGGACCTACAAGTACAAGTACCTTTCGTCTTCTTGTAATCAAAATCAATGAAAAATTCGAAAACTTTGTCCGACAATTTTTTTGTATAATAAGCAAAAGGCCGGTTTCCGTGGGAATCCGTGTCGTCATTGAGTTTTCCTGGTGGTTTTGTGACGTAGACAAATGCGTCAAGCCGCGGCAGTCATGAGCTGCAAAAAAAACAAAACACTGTGTGACCCCACGTCTCCGTCAAGTGCTGCGGCTTGATGCTGCGTCCAGCTTCAAACTGCCGTAGTGTGACCGAGGCCTAAAGCGGTGGGAGGTGAGTAGATCAGCTCACCAGCAAGTGGTCAAAGACCGAAAATCCCATTCACTGCATCCATGTTTTCCTCGTTGTATATGTGTCAGCTTGGTGAAAAAATGATGCTCATAGTCAGTCCATGTTTGTACTTGTTACTGTGTATCATTCGTCGTGACGGTCGAGTAATCCGATTATGCCAAGCACATATTCCCGAAAAACAGTTACTCATGTGCCCGGTGACGTTGACACATTGCTTGTTATTGTAACTCTGTGATTATAAGAAATTCCTATGCAAGTAATTGAAGTTTTGCCAGTAATTGAGTTTATTCTTCGCGATTGCCGTTACGCGTACATTGTATTTTAGTTGCGTATAGCCAACAATAGTGTCTGGGTGAATCCTAAATTGTTGTGTACATCATAAATACCGATAGTGATAGCCAGCACTGAAAACAAAAACTATAATAACCTTTATCATAGGTCTTAGACATGGAAATGTATGCAGGTGTCAAATGACACCGTTTGGCCGTTCTAGTAGTACTGAAAGTGGTGGCCGTCCTAGGGTTAAAGAATCTCTTCATGCCGATCAATGACCCTGCCACACCTCAGCTGAGGACGACACGGGGTCAAGTGTCAAGCCTGCTGAGAGTTCCGTTCCTCCCGGGTCCCGTTGGACGTCGTTCAATTCAGCTTGTTGGCAGCATTCTGTGGAATGCTCTCCCTGTTGCAGTCTGTACGGAAGGCGATTGGCGGACATTTAAAACTCTAGCCATGGCTCTCGACTTGCGCAGCCTTTACCCATAATAACATTTTGTGTACCTGACTTCATGTCGAAATCCATTTTAACAATCCGTATATCTCTTCCCCCCCTCTCTCTCTGTGTCTCTGTCTCTGACACACACACACACACACACACACACACACACACACACACACACACACACACACACACACACACACACACACACACACACACACACACACACACACACACACATACACACACACACACACACACACACTCTCTCTCTCTCTATCTATCTATCTATCTATCTATCTATCTATCTATCTCTCTATCTCTCTCTGTTGTTGTTGTTGTTGTTGTTGTTGCTGCTGCCGCAGTCGTTGTTGTTGCTGTCGCTGTTGGTCATTTTGTGACAGCTTGTACAATTCCCTTGTCCAGTGAGTAAAGCCGTCTCTCTCCTCTTTCTCTCTCTCTCCCCCCCCTCTCTCTCTCTCACTCTCTATTGTTGTTGTTGCTGCTGTGTAGTTACCATTGCTGTTGTTGTTGGTCTGTTGTTGTTGCCGTTGCTGTTGCTGTTGGTATGTACACAATTCACTTGGCCAGGCAATAAAGCAGTCTCTCTCTCTTTCTCTCTCTCTATCTCTCTATCTCTCTCTCTATCTCTATTTATATCTCTATCTCTATCTCTCCTCTCTGATTATGCATGCGTCACACTCTCATGGAATTTTCTCTTATAAGATTGCATGCTTCACACTCTCATGTAATATTTCTTTCCTTTCTTCGTCTTTTTGTGAGTGCTTGGACAATCCACTTGTCCAGGCAAGAAGGCAGCAATGCCTGTTCATTCCGGCGAAGTAAACATATTATATCAACCAACCAACCAACCTGCACCATTTCGCAACCTAATGCTCAAATGTCTAGGGGCCAGACTAGGGCTGCGCAACGCTTGCACTGGATTACAATCAAGGCGATTGGCTGGATTTCATGGAGCAGCACTGTTGAATACATGAATACCCGTACTGGGCCGCAGTGAATGTTCCCCAAATCCACCATTGTACTTGACAGGAGACATTCGGCAGCCTGTCAGCGATCCACCATAGCTCTACAAACGAAGGTCGCTTCAAATCAGACAAAAATATCTAAAATGTCATAGGACCTGTGCATGTTGCATTTGCATTCCTTCCGCCAAAAGGGAGCGTTGAGGAACTCAGTACATGCACATGTACATTGTATGTGTGACTGCTGCATCGCGCGTTCAGCAAAAGCGGCTGCTGTAGTTTCGCGTTTCGCCTCCGCAAAAGCGGGGCAAATTTTCATGTGTGACCGCTGCCTAAACGGTTCCCCAATGTAACGCATTTCGAATAGTGGCCATTTTGTGCACAAATAAATGGCGTGGCTACCTGGCTGCACGCTGTGACGTCATCACCTGGATATGGGTGATGCGCGCTCAAATTCGCTCATGTTTGATTGGGCGTATCTGATGAACCATGGACCGCAGCCTCCTCGGACAAAGACCATTCCACTCAGCGCCCGAAACTCTACGGACCGGAACGGTGAAATTAATTTTTCGCCGGACTTCCAAGAGCCAGCATACAGCGTGCATGCACAAAGTGCTCTCCACGCAGTCTTATAGTACATGTACATGTACACACGAGTCACAGAAAAACCAAGCGTCTTGATTGTCGTAACTTAAAGTTTCATGCCATATAGCAATCTTCAGACAACTGATTGCTATATGGTATGAAACTTTAAGTTACGACAATCAAGACGCGTGGTTTTTCTGTGACTCGTGTGTTACTGCTCTGCTTCCGCATTGAGCACTCTATCGATCCGGAGGACTCCGCTCTTTGTAGTACAAGTACATGTACATGTACTTTCAGGGACGTCAAAAATCGTTTCACGTTTTGTGCTCATTTCTTGTTCAAACATGGATGTTGTTTTTCAGGGTTTGCGAATATTCATGTGCATAAATTGCACTGTCCACAGGTTAGCATTCTCATTGAGTATCAATTCTACATAATATTTTGTAGAATTGATACATATATAAATGTACATGTACTTCATAAGTACACGTATATTACAAGTACCGGAAGGCACATGATTACTGGTGTTGATGTTGGTACATGTACATGTGCATGTATTGGTTGCCTGCGTGCAAGTGTGCCAATGGAGGTACAATGTACAAGCTTTGATTGATGGCAAGAATACTACCCCTCCCGATGAGCCGATGAGGGTACACTGGCGGGGTTAATTTAATACACTGGATATTGGTCCGTCGCGCAAGGGTCTAGTAATAACAATAGGAGAAGTGGAACCAGACTCTTTTTTTTACACCCTCACCATGGGCATGGTCTCACTTACATGTACGTAATGCATTTGTATTGAATGGAGGTATTTCAGTCCGGGACATTCTTAGTCCATTATTGTACATGTGCATGTATTTAGATTGATTGGACACCCAGTCGATAGGAATGAACTGACCAATTCATCAAACAAAGTGATGTACAGTACATGTACATGTGCGTGCTGCTGCAATGGCTTTTGCTACCATAAATTAATGCTCCTTTAATATGAATAGAATGCGGAGCTCACATGATTCCATCACCAGAATGCACGCATGACGCAGCCCCGCCACGACCAGAGACAGAAGCAAGTAACACGTTAGTTGAGCTCAGTCGCATCGCGATGACGCAAGACCTGTATACAGTAAGGGTGGATGTACTAAAAATCGTAATTTTGCCACTCCCTAATGATTACCATGTACCACCCAATCACAATAGTTCTAACATACAATGTACATCACTAAACATACATGATTGTATGGAGTTCTAAAATCAGTACTATGCATACTATCATGTACATGCCTCCGCCGAGTGACTATCGGCTGGAAAGCGCGTGCATGCAGATTTCAGATTTGTTTTACCTGTGTCGCAAAGGCGGTCTAGACGGAACAGCCTCTCGAGTTGTCGCTCAAGTGCTTGCAAGTGTGTGGTTCTGGACTTGATCAAACAGTTCCTGGCCATACCAATGTAAAATAGACACACAGTTCACTTCAGCCAGCCTGGCTAGAACTAACTTGTAGAAGAAGCTCGCGCAGCTCGGCCAAAGCCAAAACACAAGTGGCTTCTCGCGGGCCGGTTCTCAAGCGTACACAGCGCAAACGACGGCACACACGGAAGACACCTGGAAAGCATCAGGGTGTAGCAGATTCTGTGTAGCCTGTGCCCAGCTTCAACTGGTAGTGGAAGTAACAGTTAGATGTGCTCCACGGCGCTCGCATTCTCTGGGTTTCTTCACTCACTATCCCGCTTTCCGGATTGCGCCAAACCACCAGAAGTCTTTATCTTTGGATCATATTGCTTTCAGAACACAGAGCTGATTTGATCACGTCTGCCTCACCGCCTCAGTTCCTCGTTCAGGTTTTGCTGGCGCTCTCTTTGTGCTAAAAAATTGCACTAGGAGCAAACCGGATCTAAAGGACACGCCATGGCGAATCCAATTCCAGCAAAGCGCAGGGAGCCGCAAAAGCAGATAGCTGTTGCTGACGAAGCCTACATGGAAATGGGTGCCCCAGGACAAATCCATCAACTGGACGCTCCCCTGCGCTCGCCAAACCACATGCGCTCCACGTCCTCTCCTCAGAGCATGGAGCTGAAACACTCGCTGAGCGTTGGACGCATGGACAGTGGCGACAGCGTTCAACAAGGCCACGCACTGCACAATCGACTAGGACAGTCCCAGCAGAGAATCCTGGAGACGAGCTCTGACGAGCCAGTAGTAGCCCGGTTCAAGTTGGGTCCCACCCAGCAGTACCAGAACACAGCGAATGCTTACAGCGGAACTCCTAATCCAGCAACGCTACATGCTAGCCAAACGGCGCAAGATAGACCACCGACACCGGAAGCTCCGTACTACGGAGAGACACCACAGTATAGTGTGATAGGGTCGTCGGCCAAAGAACGTCGCACGGACAGCGTCCTGTACGGAAACAGAACAGCGGAAAGACGGCGGCGCAAATCGCGCGGTTCGGAGAGCAAGGATGCTGGATCATCCGGTGCGGTCCATGGCACATTGGGTTTCTTGATCATGTTGTTGCTGGTCATACTGAGTGTGGCTGCTCTAGGCCTGTCAATCTACCTATTCGTCACGCGCCCAAGTGATTGCTCCTGCGGCGAATCCACCAACAATGGTGAGTCTCCTGAGGAGAACACACACCTACAGTGTATAGTAGTATTTACGTAGCTATTTCTTTATGTAGACCACACATCGCCACAATAATACGAACATAGTGAGTGATATTTGTGAACGCCAATTGCACTGTGACTCTCAGGATTATAATAATTATAACTATACGCTCCAAACAACAAATAGTATCAAAAAAATGATCAGTTCCATTGTTGACAATTTGCTTTTGGCCAGCACACAATCCAACTCATTTGGGTTACTGTGCATTGTTTTGTCGCAAGCATTAGGGCGTTTTGGGAGAACTAGCACTCGCACATTGTCGTGATGTCCTCAAACAGATTCAGTTGAGAACCCTTTCCACGGGGTATGGGATGAATGTATCTAGATTCTTTGGACAAAACAACCATTGTATGTTACAGAACTGGCGCAAGTGTTCTCTGCCATGCCCTTAAGAAGTCGTTGTATTCATTGCGTTCAGTATCCGATGCAATCATCTTTGTCAGGGTGACATGTCATGTCATAGTAATTGCTTGCACCTCCGTCACAATGTACACTTCACGCTCATTACCCTCTCATCTTCTGACGCGTTTGTGTAGATTACTAAGCACAGACGTAACTATTACATCTACTTAAAATGCCAATAATGGACGTAAGGCGCTGCAGTCCATTAACGACTGATGTGTACTGTGCATTTTCAGGAATAAGTGACGTTTCATGCAGCGACAAATATATGAACAGTGTTTCACAAGCGCTGCAGGTGTCATTTTATCGCTTAACTTGCTGGATCTTGTACAAAGTTGCACAAAGTCGCGGCGCTAAAGTTACGTTTGGGCACTAAAGTTACCCTGAGGCAGTTTTAGCTAATGACACTGGAACTCAGTTCCGGCATCGGTCCGCCTTGCTGCTTCACCAAGTCAATTTCGTATCGCAATCCTAGATTGGCTAGGGTACCCCGTAAGGAGACCATAGGTCTGTGGGGACTGCCCTAGAGAAATATGAATACATACTATACTATACTATACACTGGATGCCTGTCACGTTATCCCCTGCAGGTCCAACCGACAGTGGGAATATTGGGAACAGTGGGAACACGTTAAGCCAGGTGAGTGGCAGTGAGTGAACATAGCAGGTAATACGACTGGTGTTCCTGTTTGAAGAATTGATTAATCGTTGATGGCCTATGTATCCCGTTATAAAGTTAACAATTTGGTCTCAGGTTTACTGTTCAAATTTCGCAGCATTTCTACTAAAACATACTATAGATTCCAGGCAATGAGTTGGGAAGTGAACTGACTGAAAAGAGAAAAAACCCGGTAAACCTCACCAGGACTCGAACCCCGGGGCCTTAGTGGCCATGAGGAATGCTTTAACCATCTGATCTATGTGACCAAGACGAACCTTGAAGGTGTTGACGAGTTTTATATTACAATGGCAGCTAATAACACGTGCCACACGTACTGATGATTTGTAACATTAATTATACCTAGAGCAGAAAAACAAGAGTGTGCAACTCCGAGTCACTTCAGCACAATCTGCAGATACCCCCAACAACAGGCGAAATATTGACTTCACCTTTTTTCTTTCAGAAAACAGCGCATTTTCCTCCGGAGAGCAGTATTAGAACACGTGCTGGGCACCGACCTTGTGATAATAATAATATCCCGGTCAAGTGCACGAGGCAAAACGTTCCAATAGACTCGCATCGCATGCGTCGTAGAAAAGGTTACGTCAATAAAAAATTCCGCCGTGGGCAACCCATGGGCGAGTTGCACAGTTTTGTTTACCTACTATTGATTATAAGTATAATGCTACTATTTCAATATCATTTTCGCTCTCTCTTACAGACAGATCTTCAGAATCTTCAGAATCAAGTTGATCTCCTTTCGTCGATGCTTATGGTGAGTGTAAGCGGATGCAATATGAAATAAGTGTCCATTCTACAGAGCCTTTTCTGTCTACTGTTGAGGGTGCTGGCGTTCCTGCTGACGCGGAAAACTGGGCCTTTGGCCAAGTCCCACCCGAAACATGATTTTTTTCTATTGTTGTGGACATTGAAATCCAGTAGAATGACCGGGGCCCCTGGCCTTACTGCTTTTAGGGCCCACAAGCACTTTGTTAGTTCAAGTACAGACTACAGAGATGGACCAGTTGTGCTCACATCTGCAAGACCAGCGCCCCATGGCTGCTGGATCTCTGAAGGGAAATCCAATGTCGACAACAGTCATTAGCCCTTGGCGGATTATGCTGGCATAATATTTGGCATAATCTTGGGATTTCGTCAAAAAATTATGCTCCGGCATAATAATTATTATACGGATTCCAACATGTAAGGTCGGCATAATCTTTCGGTTTAGACAAAAATTATGCTTAGGGGCATAATACAGCTTTGTCAGAAAGCCTGCAGATTTTTTTAAATACCCCAGTTACGACTTCTTGTCATAGCCCTTGGCGGATTATTCCGGCATAATATTTGGCATAATCTTGGGATTTCGTCAAAAAATTATGCTCCGGCATAATATACGGATTCCAACGTGTAAGGTCGGCATAATCTTTCTGTTTAGACAAAATTATGCTTAGGGGCATAATACAGCTTTGTCAGAAAGCCTGCAGATGTGTTTTTTTTTACAATAGTAATAGTTTCATGTCCAAGTCTTTTAAAGTATGCATGTCGTACCGTGCACGTGTGCTGAAAAAGTGAAATATGGGAGAAAAGTGCAAAAGTGCACAGAGGTCGCGTCCTGAACTCCTGATGTCGTCACCTCGGAAGCCACGCATGCGAAAATCATTCATGCATACATGTTTTTACTCTGAAAAGGCCGTTGCTTTTCCTTTGAAAATAGGGTGGAACCGAGCATAATTCAGCATAATTATATGTTGGCATAATTGTGGCATAATCAAAAGCATAATTTGACGATTGGCCGAGCAAAGTCCGCCAATGGCTAACAGTCAGGGAGGGTAGAAACAACTTAAATGCCGACATCTGGCGGTTCATCCCGGAAAGCTGGGTGTGTGGAGAGGGGAGGGGGAGGTCTTATTTGTATCGATAAACATGCTGCTCGTGTTGGGAGAGGATTACCGATCCATAAAAATATACACAAATGCATTATACACAGTGAAAATCCTGAATGCCGAAGGCGCAATCCCGACTCATTGTTATGAACGTATAATGTACAGGCATGTACATTACAGAGGAAGACTTCTCTATGCATATGTGCACTATGGAAGAGTTTGGAGGAGCTGTATTATCTCACCTGGAGAGATACTCATTCAGAGCTGAATGTTAAAGTGGGTTCTTATCTGTGGAGCTCATACTTTTTACTAACTGTCATAGACCACTCATAAAGAATACCAGAGGATTGAGGAGGCAGGAGTAAAGGTGGACCCCCCCCTGATGTCCGCATTGCATCAGCAAATAGTTCTCGATGGTTAAAGCATTCTGAAAGTATTCTGTGGCAAACGGCCTTGACCTCGTACTGCAGTGCACTCCTCCAGAAGAAATCTTTGATTCTTCCTGTGTTCCCTTGGAAACGTGATTTCAATCTATCATTTCACAAGAATTGGAATACTTTGAAGTAGATGAGTACGGGCCCATACTTTGTTGTTTGCCTGGTTAAAAAATTCTGGAATGCTATGAATTGTGTAATCACACCGAATTGACGTGATATCTATGAGCATGAGATTTTTTAACTCTTTTTTTTCATTACAGGGCAGTGCTAGCAGGCTGGATTCACTCAATACCACCGTGGAAACGGTGCAGACACAGACTGCAAGTACAGAGCAGCGCTTGCAGATGAATGAAGCATCGATAACCACACTGCAGACGACATCAAATATGGTAGGAGAAGCTGCTTAACTCACCTCGTTCTTGAATTAGCGATGAACGGTCTAAAATCGTCAAGCGTAATATTATCGCATGACCTGATTATCAAGTGACTGGTGGTTTTAATGGACATCAAGGTGTAACTTGTAATTCTGTAATCATTCTCTCCGCTATAAATTAATCCTGGGCTCTCCACCGGAGTCTATCATCGTCTAAATGATTGATGCAACACTTCTTTCTTCTATAATAGCCACTGTATGGTGGATCGAGTATGCATGTACCGCTGATAACAGGTTGTCTTTTGAACAGTGACCAGAGGAGTAAGATTTTCAGTGCGGACATAACCAGCCGAATAATACCCGATTTTGCGCTCCTACCAAAAGGCAGCCTTACATTGATCTTAACAGTATATTTGCAGCTATCGGCACACACTGTTTGCTGAAAATATCTATGAGACCTACATTTTAGCAGTAAAAACAACATTGCTTTAAGGCTTCTTCGTGTGTGCCCTGCAGAACACAAATGGGATTGCCGCAGCGGTGTCCAATATCTCCAGTCTTCAAACGAGGACAGTGGACGTGAGTGCTTTCACTTCATACAAGTGATGTCAGTATCACCAGCGTTTATATCAATTTAGTACACGTCACGACATGTACTTTAATAACAATCTCAATCAAGGGGATAATGCCAATCAAGTCATTATAATGATCTGCTCCAGCTTGAATTGACAGTCCTAATCTTGGACAATACATTATAGTTTAATTCCCCTACAGCTCTTCAGGCTAATGATAACAATTTTCATCCTCCATGTGCATGTAGTGCTTGGTGAAGTGCTATCTTGCTTGGTTTACGGCACTAAAGTACTCTTGTTAGGTTGGAGGTTGACTCAGCTGAACACGCTGGGCTTTGGAAAAACGGAGAATGAACGTGGCACAACACTTGCATAGGCCACACTAACATGACACCAGGTGTGGATTATAGTTGTTTTCCACGATGAGACATTTCAAAGGAAAGTAAAAAATTCGTCACTAGCAGGGATTCATAACAAGCGCTCACTAGACTTTTTTCCATATACAGTACTGTCGGGTTGTGAAGAACGGCCAGGCTAGAATTTCACCAATTTATAACAACTGTCTAGGCTGGTTTTTTTAAGCAGATAACAACGGAAATCGTAATGAACCCTACAATGTGCACTGAGATGCATACCTCTGCATAAATGTGCATGGAAGACTGTGCAATCAAAATAAAAAGAATAAAACTACTACTAAACTCAAGTTCGGCAAGAAGCGTGTGTTCCTAGTTGGAACAATCAACTTCAAAACTACTGTGTTTGCTTAAAATAGGAATGGGCTAGGCTAGAAACCTGACCCCCACCTAGGGTCCGGCAGATTCTGCCGGCAGAAAAATTGGCAGAATTCGGTACTTTTTTTGGTACGTTTCATGCATGTTTGGTATGTGAATAAAGAAGTGGAGCAGAATTCGAGGAATTTCCCGCCATACGGTTCGTGTGGTTCTGCCAATTTCACTGCTTTTCGAGCAGAATCTACCACCTTTTCGAGCATAATCCGCCGGTCCCTACGGTCCCACCCCCACCCCTGTTCTTTGAGGCCTGACAGTACGTAGTATAGTTGGAGTTTGGTGCAACGTTTGAGCCTGCACGTAACCATACCACTTTCCATGTACGTCTCTGCTTATGTTCCATGCAGCTAAATCAAGGTCTGAACAATGCCTACAGTATGGGACTCCTCTTCGTAAGTGATCCTTTTGTCGTTCTCCTCCAGGGAATCAGCTGATAGCAGTCGATTTGAAGGAGATGAATTGCTCTCCCAGTAGTCATGGTTGGATCTGTGTGCTGGCTTTCCCGTATGTACTATCTGTTATATGGAATTATTTGGAGCAGAAAATTACATTTAAAAAAAAAATAGAGAAAAACAGAAAATATTGGGCCCTTCGCTATCACCAAATCCATTGATTCAAAAAGGAATGTCCCCTTTTGAATTAATTTTTTTGTCATCTTTCTCGGTGATTTGAACGAAGTGCACGTAATCTGCAAGCCTTTGCTTCAATCAGCGTTGAGAACGTTATATCCTTGTCTTGATGGTCCTTTGAGTATCAGCGTACTTTGTGTATTGTGTGTTGTCAGTATTTTGCACTTCAAGTTATCTTTTATCCGTGTGCCTGTTTGATCAACGTGGGTATAATATGCTTGTGTGTGTTTGTGTGCCGTGTGGACGTGTGTGTCCATGTGGGGGTTGGTGTTTGTGAATGTGCTTGTGGACATATCTGCACCGTGCAGAATTGCACAAACATTATCCGTGCCTGCAATGTCGTAGCGACTGTAGCAGGATCAGTGGAGTCATGTGACATTGTCAACTTTCCTCTAGCCGTTCCAAGGGTAAGAAGCACACGAATTTCTGTATAAGTGATATCATGCAATTGTCTACCCGGCAATCGTGACAACTGTAATTCGACCCCGGAGTTAAGAAGAGTAGAAATCACTGTACTTCTTGCCCATAGCACCGTCGTTGGAGGCGGTCGGGCCGGAGGGGAGTGCGGGGGGGGGGGGGGGCGTCCCCGGGAAGATGTTGAGATTAGGGTACAAAATCCTGCATTCTGGGCACTGTTTGAATTGTTTTTAAAAAAGTCGCCTGGCCTGACTGGCTGCTACGTCCTTGTGGAGGTATGGATCTCTAGCACGTTTAGCCATAGGCGGTAACCGACTACGGCTTATGGTGCTAGAAATCCATAGCTCCCGAGCAGTACACATATTGAGGGCGGATTCCAGCCAATAATGCCTCTACAGAAAAGCTTCTACCTGGATGCATCCCAAAATAAAATTTAATGATCTCAACAAATTTCCTGTTCTATGCGGACTATAGTTTCTTTTCTTGGTGAATTTAGCACAAAAGTTTGCTCAATGTCCATTGTAATAATATACAATTGCTTTAACTACTATAAACAACTCAACTTTGAAAAGCATGTTTACCTCTCTTGATTTTTGAACTGTTAAAGGCAACCACCTAAAACAGTGGAAACCACCAAATCAAACCAACCAAAATGTACACAATACTCTAATTTCAGAAATTTTAGGTTCTCAATATTTTCTGTATGAGGGCGAAAGGCATGGTTAGGTGAACAGGAAATTTAGGTACAGAGATGCAGTTCCCTATTGGATTATGTGTGTTATCTTTTGTTCGGTGTATTGAGATTTGATTTCTGCGGGTTGTATTACGAGAGAGCTTGGAAGCTCAGGGCCCTACGCTATGCTTTTTTGCCTTGATGACCTAGACAAAAAAAAAGCATAGGGATGTTATAAATTCTTTAAAAAATTCCTTTTTTTTAGACATAACCTGGGATTCGAACCCGCACTATCGCGCGCCCTGCATTCATCCCCCGATGCACTTCGCATACATACTAATTCTTCCAAGTTGTTTCACATTGTGATCTTGCATTTGAAAGCCCTATTTGAGTTATATGCATTGTGGCCAGCCGTCTTTGATGGCACGGTACGGTAGGGGATAGGGACGGGACAGGTACGATCGAGGGTAATACGACACCGTCTCCCGTACCGTACCGTACCATCAAACACAGCTGGCCACATACAGCTTCCCGCAATATTCAAATAGGGCTTTCAAACGCAAGATAATAACGTAACGCAACTTGGAAGAATGGGTATGAATGCGAAGTGTATGGGGGAATGCATGTAGGGCGATAGTGCGGGTTCGAATCCCAGGATATGCCTGAAAAAAAGGAGAATTGAAAAATTTATAACATCCTATGCTTTTTTGCCGTCAGATACGGATAGCGCCAGGCGTGACACAAACAAACACACAAACAAACACCAAATTAAAGCTGTGTGGACCCTGGCTAGCGCCAGACGTTACTGAAGTAACGTCTTCTGCATAGCTACGGGAATTATTATATTTGTCCTCCACCAATGTACATGCAGGGGAAATTTATGATCGGAGTGGCGTGCGAAGTCAACGAAGCCGCCTTCCCATACTCCATAAGGAGTCTGGTGAGGCATGAAGTAGGCCAGGACATCTCCTATTCGTGCAACTGCCGGTTCGATGGTCCGAACACACCCGTGAATGCTTTGCTGATCTGCACAACTCGCCTAACAGTGTGCTCAAAATCAACTGCCTGAGAAAAAATGATGATGTAATGCTGATGTCATAAACTTATGAACACAAAAATCACACTGTGCATTTCTACATGTGTCACTTCACTCTCTACATGGTATGGACACTCGAAACGGAGAAGGGCTGCACTGGTGCTTCTATTCATAATATAATATCCCTTTACTGATATGACGATGGCTTCATAATTTGTATCAAAATAAGAATGACTTTTAGCGGATACGAACGTGAATTTAGAGTTTTCTGCTATCCTCTCGTATTTCCCATGTACATGTACCGTAAGTGCTTGATTTGTGTGCATTGCTCGTTGATTTGGTTTTCGCAGGATCTTGTAATTATCTTGATCTTTTACATTTATGATCTTGTCCGCAGTGATTGATAGTTTTTGAAAAGTGGGTGCATCCAAAAGAGGGGGGGGGGGGTGTACTGCTGACATAACAAGAGTAATCTTCTGTGTTTTTTCATTAGGTGCTGAAACGCGTTGGAAAATTTAGTTGGCACGAATGGCTTTCACTATCTTATAACTTGTTCACATTTAACACAAGATAATAGTGTTTTACTAAGGTATACAATGTAGTTACATGTATATGTATGTCTATTCTCATGACCAATAACATATCGCGTTTATAAACATCCGTTATAGCCACAGCGAATCTCACCTTGCTTGATCTTTCCTCCTCGCAATGTGGGTTATCGTATCTGACATCATTGATGCGAAATCACGTTAGCGTGCCTTACCTGCTCAGTGCTGGCTGCATTAAATTTAGTTGTGTGCGGAGGAGAGCGCCCTGAGGAAATCCTGCAGCTCTACTCTACACATACTGAACTGACTACAGTGAAAGCTGTCCTGCAGAGGTGCTTGAAGCTAGCTGTCACTTTATCGGAGGCTTGATGGCCTTCATTAGCGGAGCACGCAGATTTGTTTGGGGAGTGTGGGGGTGTTTGGGATGCCTTGATTTTCATGTGCCAGGCTGGGGAAGACTTTGATCTGGAGTCATCGGCCTCTACCACTAAACTGGCTGTACAATGACCAGGGGTTATTAAAATGTCTACACTTGCCAGGGCTGGCGTCATGTGAACGACCAGCGCGAACCAAACTACATACATGTGCAATGTACTTGTGTAGTGTCTGCCAGCCTGCTCGTGTCTGAGGCACTTTGGACTTACACCAGAAAGTGATACAGGCTTACAGCACTAGCGGGAGGAAAACAAGCTCTTGGGCTTAAAACTCTTCCCTTCATAATTCCACAAAGCAATGAGAAAGAATAATGGGTTTATATAGGCCAGGGGACGGAGCAGCTGGGAGTGACGGCAAAAGAAAGCAGGAGAACAGCAGGACAAGAAACAGTGTGGGGGAAATAATAGACCTAAGTGGCGAGCAACGGGTGGGGCAACAGGAATGACATCTAAAACTGTGTAGCGAAAGGAATCTTACTTGTAGGGCTCGTTATTGGGTGGGAAGGATGCCGGGAAACACGCTATTCAAAGAAGAGCAGCTTAAGAGCCCGGGGATGCGGAATGGCGTATGAGGCACTACAGAGTCTCGTACCGGTCTTGCAAGCAGGGCTATCTAGTCCTAAGTGGTTGCGCGGGAGAAGCACTTAGATAGAATGTAGCTGTGAACTACAATGTGAGGGCTCACAGTAGGCATGCAGTATCGACAAAAGCGTCGTGCGAGGGCGGGTTTGGTGCACGTAAGTCGCGTGACCCCGGGAGAGTACCGATCGTGTACATCCCACGCATCCAAAACAGAACAGAACAGAGAAAGAACCAGAGTTGTACTTGTACTTGTAGCCTGTTCTCGTAGTTTTAGAGCCGATGTTCGCGATATTTTGGAGGAGAAGGCGAAACGCAACCTGTGCTACTAGTAGTCCCAGTAAATACAACATGCCATGTTCGACCAAAAGCTGCTGCTACAATGAGCGATCGTGATGATTCCACAGGTAAGAAGACAAACAAACGAGTCAGAGCTCGCCAGGCAGGTAACGCCGAGAACATGATGATACCACACGGAGCTGGTGATCGGATGGAGGTGAACGGGACCTGCAAATCCACCGGGCGTTTGTCGAGGGCCACTGAAGACCCGGTTTCCCATGGTGCCAGTTCCTCCATGATGGCGAAATGCGCTGCCACAAGAACTCCAGCGAGAATGAAAGCACAGCAACCAACGCCGCGGGCGAACTGAGGAGAGAACACTGAACAATCTGTGCACAATGATTTTCTCTTCGACGGCACGCGTTGCTGTTCTGCTGCATGCATGCGTTTTTCTTGTTGTTTGATCTTCACACATTTTCGCGCAAGCGGTTGCGCGCCGCTGGGACTCGGAGTTACTAAAATCAGTACAGAGCATCTCCCCCTTGGTCGATTTGGACAATCTATGGCTCAAAAATTTCAGGAGACCCTGGCAAAGAAATTTACAGAGACGTTTTTGGATACTCCTTTCGAATGCTGTACTATATCTCACGAAGTTTACGCATATGCTCTGGCATACCCGTGTGAGTAATGAAAATTTGTTTCAGTAAATCTTTTGGAACACCTGTCATCTGTGCCTGGGCCAAGTCCCAGCTTCGTAGAACCTGGCTGAAGTGCTGCTAACTCCTTCAAACACCCCTACTTCGAGCAAAAATGCGACGAAATGCTGACTGCTGATGGGCCAAGCTGACATTTTGGAGCACGTGAACCGCCCCCATCCAATCGACGCTTTTCTACGCAACTGTGAGCCCTGAATTATGTGACTACTGGTAGAGATTTGGCTGGGTTATTACTGACAGTCAGGGATACTACACTTGTATGTCAAATTATGTTGGCACCTCCGTGGTAGGAAGAATTCAGCTTGTGTCTTCAGAACTATCATTGTCTTGACTGGTAGAAGTCTGATTGTGTCTAGCGCGTGGATGTAGACGCCACTGTGTGCAGTAATCATGTTGTTCTCCACCTTTACTCGGTCCTTGCAGGACAGACCTTCTCTCTTTCCACACCTCCAACAAACATTCTCGAGTCTTCCTGTCTTGTATTGCACCAGCATGTGCGCGTAGTACTCATCCTTGACGAGCTTGAACGTGCATGAAGAAGTTAGGCCAGTACAATCAGGATTTACATCCATAACTGGGCCACCAAGAGAAATGATGTCGCGTCCACAGATCACAGTTTTTCCGTGACATTCAGTGGCGGGGTCAGTAGTGAGAATTCACCTCGAGACAGCTGGTAACAAAATGTCACACGTCTCGCTGACCGGTCCCTGATCCCGTATCTGTACCCTGAATGAAGGCTTTCTCCGCAGCGGCATGATCGGAAGTTATTTTCATCTAACGAAGAATTTTTCATTTCATTATCGGGCAAAACAGTTGGGAGGATAACGATGACTTGAATAATCTCTGGGACAATCGCAGCCCTAAAGGTAATCACATCCCTTGGGGTGCTCGGTCAATTTTCATTTCCTTTATGTCTTATCACCTTGTTTGTGTTCCTGCATCCTAGTCCACCAGCTAGGCTAGGCAGGAATTTTTTTTATTTTTGCACAGCTTTCGCGAACTCCAAACTGCCAGAGATCAATGACGTGATGGAAGCAAGGGGCTGAAAGTCTGAAATCTGTTGCACTGGTTTATGCTCATGCACAACAGGATTCTCGTGTAGCTTTGCCACTTTCAACACGCTCTGATCCGTGGAACACAGCCGATTTCATATCCATATACTGAATAATGTTACTACAATGATGATAACCCGATGGCAGTTCGTGTACAAGTATCGGGTCATGTTGCGATGCCAAATTTGTGTTGGTTTCATTTCAAGAGTGAAAATTACGTGTGTAGGATGTGTTCTGGGGAGGATCTCTCGTTACATGTACATGTGTATAATTATTACCTTCATCCTTACGCTTGGGTTGGCGTTAGGATCATTACTACCGTTTCGGACCGACATTGTGAAATCACATTATTTCTCCAGTCTTTTCGGATCTGAAAGTGCCGCATCAATATTGTAAGCAGCTTCGGTATGTTATGTTACGCCAGGCAAGCAAAGACGATTTCTTTACAGTTTCAGAACCACCGGATAGGACCTAGCGCCCGTTTTGTCTCACAAAGCATGTCCCTATCTTGCTCCCATTGTCCGGCGACTAAGTGTCAAGTACAGAATACTCCATTACGTTTGCTCTCGTAATTCCGTGAGCAATGCACAATGCACGACACAGAGCTATATCGTTTAGTCAACATACGCCGTTGAGCGATTGAATGAAAGAGGTGTCGTGAGAATTTGAAAGATACCAGGGAATTCACGTGCAAACACACATCACCCTCTCAGAGTAGAAGTCAATCCATTCCCCAAAGGAGTCAAACCTAAAGCTTCCCTTGGAAATGCTGAAAGTACTCCTGGCTTAGTCGCTTCGTACCTGGCTAAAAAAAGGTACAGTGAGTGTCATTATCCGAGTCAGGTCTAAGAAGACAAGCAGCTCAAGGAAGCAGGAAAATACCAGGCAAATCGCCACCACCGGGCCTGTCATAGTACACACACCTGGAAGAAGGATCCAAAGCGTTTCTTCTGGGACTCTAAGCTTTAACCGATCATCACTTGCTATCTGATGAGCGTTTAACCGTGAACTTTCAGAGCTACAGCAGAAGCGCTTTTAGTTCCTTCTTTGAAGTGTGTGGCTCTGCACCTGTTCTAGGTGTCACGAGCACTGTCGAGATCAACCGCAACTCTCTCCCAGTGTAGTATGTATTTTAATTATTATTCCGTGTGTCAAGTTGAGCATGAGCTCAACTAGAAATATCAAGCGGGGAATCACACTTCAGAATATGTCCAGGATGGGTAGTACGCAGGTGTTCTGTGAATACATTACATTCAGCTACATCTGGGTATGGATCAGACCATACCGCCCCGCCGTATCCTGGGACATGTCTGCATGTGCTTGCAACCACACTATAACTGAGGTGGAGCTATTGTACCACGACCTGCAATTGACACGACTGTGAGTTTTTTTATATTTTTTACTAGAGCCACGTACACCCGTCATGTGTGAGCCAGGAATAAGGGGAGTGGTGGCGTGATCAGGGATGCTCTGCCGACCTTGGGTCTCGGCTTCATCAAAACCAGGCGCGCCAACATATACATTATACTTGTATGGTTTTTGTAGGCGCTACTTAAACTTTCGTTATCATCAGTCCTTGAATTATATTGTGGTCATTTCCATTACCAGTATGTTTACGCCATCCTTGCCTGACGCATGAACTATCCACCTCACTAGCTCCGGCACTGGTGAAAGTTCTTAAATGTTCTAGCGGAAAGGAGATGTTGCTCTACTTATTCTTACCACGGTTTGATTTGTTCTTTCTTTAGCGTCTGCCTTTAGCGTGTTGGTTTGCTTTTCCGAAGCTCTCGGGCGGGTTTGTTCACCACTACAATTCCACCAACGTTTTTTTCTCTGAGAGGATTGCATGCTGATTTGTGGGAATTCACTTGCAATATGTGCATTGTAATCCTACTGGCTTTGATATGCATCTCTGCAGCGTTTCCTATTTCCAACCATTCAAGATCATGTAAGTGGTTGAGAGCATCTTTAGTTTTGGTCGTCTGTGGTCCTGGATGCTACAAGGAGGCTCTTAGAACTCCAATTGGAGGTCGCCGAAGCTCCTCCAATTTACATGTATATTTGTCGATGTGTGTTTCTTTCGATTAAGTGAACCCACCATTCTTATTGTCTACATGTATGTGACCCTGTGAATGCAGTTATTCTGCCCCAATG